TTTATTAACACATTAATTACAACTATATTTAGCATGATTGGCTTCTTAATAAAGTGTGTTAAATAATATCAGTTTTAAATGTTTTAGATATGCATGGACGCTTAACGTTGAAATTTGTACTGTCATGACGTCGGTAAGACGTGCGCATGCCATGAATCATGAGAAGAATTATGCACTCTGTAGGCTGCAACACAGCATGACATATGAACTAAAATATCAAAAAGTAACAATATTTATTACTCCTAATTTTGATTTTATTTATTTTTGAAAGAGAACACTTTCTGGGACCCTGCGCAAGTACATCTAGTTTAGTTTTATTGGGTTACCGTAAGAGGGTACTATTAAAGTATTTAACTGGAACGTGAGGTAAGTTCTTAAACTCCACAAGAGGCAATAACATACGTAATATATAAATATATATACGTATATATATAATATATTTGTGAATAGCATTTTTATTATAAAAATAGTGTTGTACTTTATTTTTCTAGAGTTATGATATCCAGACTTTAAGTTAATTTATTTATTTTGTTTGTAATTAAGCACAAAGCTACACAATGGGCTATCTGTGCTCTGCCCACCACAGGTATCGAAACCCGGTTTCTAGCGTTGTAAGTCCGCAGACATACCGCTGTGCCACTGGGGGGCCCGACTTTAAGAAAACATGATTTAGTGTTTGCTGACGCTCGAACGCGCAGAACCGCCCCTCCGTAACAGGACTAACATTTCTTAGCATGACGTTTAACGAGAATACGAAAAAAGTGCATTAACGTGACAAGTATATCATTGTAGAACGTTATATTGCCCGAACTTCCTTTATAGCTATCAAGATCTGGACCGCTCTCCGACCACGTTGGATAAATAATCAAATAAATAGCTTTGTTACTGAGAGAACGTCAAGTCTTTATAAAAGGATCGCAGAAGGATACTGACGCAATTTGTAACTAAACATTAATGAAATTATTACAGAAAAGAAAATCACTATGGGACAATGGTATCATTTCTATGAGCTCATGTGATATATTTAGCTTTCATGAACATATCCCTCGGTGGGACAGTGGTAAGTTTTACGGACTTACAAAGCGGTGGACACAGCAGATGGCGTGACGTCATTCAAAAAAAAACTCAAAAAGTTCTATAGCTCAGTTGAGTTTTTGTTTTTATATAAATATGGAAGGAAATATAAAGAAACAAACTGTGGTTACTTTGGATTGCTATGCCCATCGTATAGTAGTATGATTACAGAAATGTTATATGTCTGAAATAACATAATTTATGACGTAGTTAATCCTCCATCATCATGTTTTACTGGCATGACATTTTATAAATGCAGAGGACAGTATGTAAACCAAGAAAGAACTCGAGCTTGCTGTATAGTGTTGTTAATATTGCAATGAAAACACTTTTTGATAATTAATATTTATGACAAACCTACATAAGTTATCTGCCAATGTTCCCAATTTCGAACTCTGACCAGAGGAAAGGAAGCCAGTCAGCAGCGCCCACCGTAACCGAATAGTGGGATTGATTGTCATCATTGTAATGCACCCACATCTGGAACCGCGGATCACATTTATCAGCATAGTGGCGCGAGTCTTAGACCTTCGAATCTGCTCCCTGGCAAGTTAACCCCTAAGCCATGCCCGGCACCAACAAAAATTGAAACTACCACTTCTAGAGTAAATGATCAAATCAGAAGAGAAGATAAAGATTCTGTTTATTCGCGACGTGTATAGAACCCGCAAAATACACTTACATACGTTTTCTCAACGGAATAAATGAAATGTGTACAAAGCGATAGAAATTTCTATTATTGGAATTGTTCTCCGGTGTAATTTTCCAGATCGTGATAAACATTTGCTCCCTTGACTTTCTGATGTAATACAGTTGGTAAAATTTCCACTAGTGACGCTGTGAATACAAGGAAATGTATTCATATGCATTGAAGAACTGTTAGAACTAAATTCGACTAACTAAGACTGTTTTTTAAGCTGATATGTAATTTTTTTGCCACAAAAACAAAGCAAAACACCAGTAGTTGTAAATGCAAATTTCAAAGTGATAGGAATAATTATGAGTTAGTACGACTCATTATCTCTCTCTAATTGTAATATAAGCTTTCATGGAATATTCGTTGTATGTATTAATAACACATGATATTTAATTACACTGCTTTTAATCCAACCAGAACTTGCAAACAGAAATTAGATTTTTTCCCTAATGAATAGGCACCTGATGATTCATCGGTAAGCTTGAGGGCCTATAACGCTAACATTTGGGATCCAATTCCCGCGGTGTGCTGCTTTTCGTTTAAACCAACACTAAAGAAACATGCGAATAAACCATAAGTAGGTGATGATAAATTAGTTTTAAACTTTGGATATATTCACAAGTTAATGGTAATATATTGAGAACAACAGGAATAGATCAGTAGATCACCTGCCTTCAGTTCTTCACTTAATTCTGGATTTAACTTTCAAAATATGTTGACGTTTCTGTTAATGCTGAAGATCTTAAAAAAATTTAATACTATCGCACTTCGTTTAAATGGAAGAAAATTTTATGTTTGAAACTTCAATTAAAATTATCTCCCAAAAATTAATTGTATTTTAAACGAGTTGGCTGAACGTGATCATATTTTGCTGAAAATTTTTTGAAATTATGGCTTGCATTCTGTTGGAGACAGATCCTTGTTTTAACAACGGGTTTTCTCAAGGAAGGTGGCTTATGTATTGAGGTTCAAGTTAAGCTCCAAGCTCATCTCTTCCACTTCTCCGCTCATGAATTTTTTCCCCTTAATTGGCGTTCCACAAGTTCGTACAACCATAGATATGTGGACCCGTATTTCATCCGCTGTTCATTTTTGCGTTAAGAGCCTGAGGAACTGAGCCTTTGTCGGCACGCACCAAAACATTCATTCACTTTCCCCTACTGGTAGAACTGCACGTTTTTTGTTTTTGTTTTTAAATACTGAATCTTCATGGTGGTTTTCATTTTCTCAGTTGTATAATATAAAACATATAGATATCACCAGTAACATAGTGCGCTAGTTATTAATTATAACAGTCGAATAGGGTAAAACTTTTCATCTGTTATTACCAAATATAATGTAATAAAACCAAAACAATTACAAAAAATATTCTAGCAAAATTCTTTAACATACAAGGAGAAACAATATTTATGCAAAATGCTCTCACATACTGGTGATCCAATATATATATTACAAGGAGAAACAATATTTTAGCTAAATGCTCTCATATACTGGTGATCCGATATATATTACAAGGAGAAACAATACTTTTGAGAGCATTTTGCTTATACTGATGATCCAATATATATTACAAGGAGAAACAATACTTTAGCAAAATGCTCTCACATACTGATGATCCAATATATATTACAAGGAGAAACAATAGACTAACAGCAATATTAGGTTATACTTTTGTTGCTAAGCGGCATGACATAATAAAGCCATTGTTGGAACGTAGTGTTACCAAAACGCACTGGCTTTTCTATATATTAGAAGTTGTTAATCTAACTGATTTTTACCAATAATTATTCTCTGAATACGCCACAAATGAATGATCATAATTTTGACTGGCTCACAAAGGAATTTGCCTCCACTGTACTTTTCTGCCTCTTTGTTGGTCAAGCTTGATGTTGCAACATTTATTTCAGTTAGCTATGAAATGTGAGGTTAGAGCATACTAAGGAGTGAGGGTGGTAGTACTTGCCACGTCATTTTTGACGGGTTATACGCTAGTATTTGAATAAGTCCAACTTTTGGAATTTTGTATAACCATAGCAGTGTAGGACTGTATGTGCTATAATGCTATCAACTGGTAGAACACTGGAAAAAATATAACGCATATTTACTCGTGCGATTATATAGCAAGTCTGATGAACATGAGCGTTACAACTAGAACTGTGAAACATTAATTTATTGCACTTTATTTCCCCTATACGCCTTCTTGTAGCACTAAAATTGCCGTTAATTTATTTTTGAAAAAGGCTAACGAAATACTTTTGTTTTGTTTGAATATAAATGTCTTAAATTCTGCAAAACACTTGCATGCGCTATTTTGTACGTTGTTATTATCTAAAATCATTGAATGAAAAATTTTAAAGAAACCCGATTACTTAAAGGAAAGTGCAGTTAGAAAAAGCACACCGAAAACAAGTCTCAAGTGTTCTACAGCTTGTAATCTTGCAAATACCGGATTCTCCAAACATTCTGATGTTTTATGCTCCAAGTGTACTAAAGAATTTGGTTCTGCTGTCCTGTGTTAAGCATGCGGAAGAGCTTAGATTTCAACGCCGGTCTTTTTGGCTCTTGCACCATTTTATCTTTTTTCCAACGGAAGTTGGTGGACTGATAAGCACGCTTTCAGGTCGAATATCTACAAGAAGAAGTATTACTGCCTAAGTTACGCATTCTTACCACCAGGCTATTTGTTTGTACTCTTCAAGTGGTCGGCAAACTGTAGCAAAGCTGGGTGACGCAGGCCTCTGACTTGAGCATAATATTGTATTACCGTATGAATGATTATCAGCATATAAAATCATATAACCAGGGAATTTGTTTAGGGTCTCATTATTTCATGCAGGTGAAGTCTGGCGTATTATGTAGTAGAAGGCACAAGTTTCTGAGAAGTTATTAAGATAAGATACTTAAGCTTCATTGACTTCAAGAAGAAGCTTTAATGCCTTTTCATGCACCAATGAGCGCGCGTAATTTGTTATTAACATTCTTAGAAAGTCGAGGAACTATTCTGCTGTATAACATGTGTTACCTACGTCACATTGTAACCAGGGTAGTTAGATATATTTTCGCCATTAATAACCACAACATACAAACAAAATTAAACGAATTTTTTTTTATATTTCCGAAAGGAAATAAATAAAGCGAAGATAACGCTAAGACCACAGAGGTTTGTAAAACGTAGCCAACATACTGTTCTTTTGCTGGTTTCTTTAATGGTTTTATAATTATTTCAAAAATGGCATCTGCAATGTAAGTTGTATTTCTAAGATAAAAAACAATGAGTGCTTTTGTAAAGGACAGAATTGAGGAAAATTAGAAGTAAAGTATATGCTATTCACGCTGATATATATATATATATATATCAGTTGGTCAAATTTACACACGTATTAAGTTATATATATATATATATATCAGTTGGTCAAATTTACACACGTATTAAGTTATATATATATATATATATATCAGTTGGTCAAATTTACTACACGTATTAAGTTATATATATATATATATATATCAGTTGGTCAAATTTACACACGTATTAAGTTTAATGCTTTAATAATATAATTAATTTCTCAACTACTTTTGTCCACCCCCGGTGGAAAACCGGTAAGTTTAGGGACATACAACCCTAAATTTCAAGGCTCGATTTCCCACTCGGTGATTATATTGTTTCATGCAATAGGAAGCTTACGTGTAGGTTGGGTTAAAATATTGGGTATTAGTGTGTATAAAAACAACAACAAACGATTCTTGGAATACCACAACCCATAGAATGAAATGCCGATGGACTAAAGAGTATGGTTAAAGGAACTGAACAGTTAATTGAGACAATAAGTTAAAATGCACTGGTTCTCATAGAACAAACAATTCTTTCTTTACAAACAAATATACATTTGTAGGATATACATAAATTAATAAAAAAAAAGCGCAACCAACATTTGATAGCAAGTGACTGTGGCGTGTCAGTTTTTCTGGGTTTTGATTTTAACTGAAGTTGAAATAAAGAAAACGTTTAAGTTTACTAGCAGGAATACCCTTCCCCTGGACGGAAGTTATGTAAATTCATGATTAATGAAAGGTTATCTTAGGAGATGAAAAGTTGCTTCCCTTATATGTAATTGTTAAAAACAAAACAACAACAACAACAAAAAAAAAAAACAACGCAAAAACGCCCATAAAAACTCCAAAACACAAAATGTGAAACCATAACTTTGCATGTATCTCCGCATGAACCCAACGAACCTTCATACCATATTTGGTGAAGGTCCATCAAGAGGGGACGAAGTAGTAAAAAAAAAAAAAACGCCAATAAAAACCGCAAAATGCAAAACTGAAAATTTTATATGTATATCCCTATAGACCTAATGGACCTCCACAATAAATCTACTGAAGATCCATGTACAGGAGACGAAGTTGTGGTAAAAAACGCTCATAAAAACCGCAATTCGCAAAATGCAAAACTGAAAAGTTGTACGTACTCCCGCATGGACCTAATGAACCTCCATACCAATTATTTGGGTGAAGATCCATCCAAACCCTGCGAAGTAGTTACATGGACATACAACAGACAGTACTATTATATTTATATTTATTTACCGAATTAATTAAGGGGACACACTGAGTTGTGTTTTGATCTTAGAGCCCAATCTAATTGTTGAATAACTAGATAAATCTATTAATTTCTGGTTCTTTAACTGTTCTGGAGATATCTGACTGACAGATATTTTAAGAACAAGCACACAGAAATGAGCTACTTTTTAAAGATGATATCTTGTATTTTAGTCGGATTTTCAAAATACAAATACAAAAGACAACATTTACAAGTCACTCGTTTCTGTACTGACCAGAATAGTAATATGTACATTACAATACGATCTTTGTACACGTCATTTCAAACAACATTGTATATGGATGAACCAATAAAGGAATCAAAGTTCATGCACTTGACTATAAGTTACAGGTGTGAATTCTACGTATTCGTGTTGCATCAAGGTAAAGGTAGACTACTCGAGTCACAAAAAATCTAAAATTTTGAATTTTAAGTTTAAATAAAAGCGAAGTAGTAGGAAAAAGTTTCGCTGGATTACCAAAATAGTGAGACAAGTCATTCAGTCAGTCACTAATTATATTTTGATTTTTTTTGTGACTGA